GATTTATTTACAAAAGCATTGCCCCCAAAGAAATTTGAAGAACTCGTACACAAGATTGGCATGCGTCGCCTCCGTCAATTATGCTAAGCTGAGGGGGAGAATTTTATGAACTGTACTCTTTTTCCCTTGATCAGGTTTTTATCCCACTGGGTTTTTTCTGACAAGGTTTTTAACGAGGCAGTACATAAAATTAGAATGGGTTCCTAAACTATACCCATTTCACGAAGTACCCATCATTAATTGAAAAATGAACATTCAAGGGGGAGTGTTATGAAAATAATGATTGTTCATTTATTCAATTAATCAGGCCTATTTTCTAGAATAGTAGATTAAGACAACCATTGATGAGTATCAATTATGTACAGTACTTCCCACTTGTATTTGTATTCATACCAAGCCTCTCCACTATAAATAGAGGCTTAATCCCTGCATTGTAATCACAATTAAGAATAAGAGAAGAGTGAAGAGTTAATAGAGAGAAGAAATCAGAAATATATTATATCTATTATCTTAATCTCTGAGTAGTTTTTCTCTCATTTTATAACAAAAGTAACATTTTTGTTAGCGCTAAATTTAATTACATGTAACATGTTCTGATATAATTTGTTACTCCCTCCGTCCTAAAACTATCTTCCCACTTCTCCTTTTTCTCCGTCCTAAAATTATCTTCCCACTTCTTAATAAAAGATGTAAAAATACTATATTACCCCTTAACCCCTCAATTGTTTCCATCCCGTCTCCCTCCCGTCTCTTCTTTCTCCCTCTTCCTCCATCCCTCTTCTCTCTCCCTCTTCCTCCATCTCTCCTTTCTCTCACTCTCTCCATCTCTCTTCCCTCTCATTCTCAATTAATCTTCATCTTTCCTCTTTAGATTTAAAGATCTCAGTCTCTCATCCCTTTCCTTTCTTCGCCTCTTTCTCAAGATCATAGATCTAGATCTGAAATTTGGTTCCCAAATTTCAGATCTAGATTTAAAATTCGGTTCCCAGATGTCAGCCCTTTGTCGATGTACTCCAGAGACCACAGACAGAGATCAACGGAGACCACAACCCTTTGGTTAGTATTTTTAGTTTTCTTTTTTCAATTTTCTGAAAATTCTCTGTCCGGTTCAACGAGGCCATCGGCTCCCCCGTAGCAGACTCTCTCAATCGTCCCCGCCGGCACAGTTTCCCGGATCTTCGAGTTCAACGAGGCCATCGGCTCCCCCGTAGCAGAGTCATGACCCGGCCCATCTCTTCTTCTCTGCGTTGCACCCCCTCTTCTCAACCAGTCTCGGGCCGATTCCGGCTGCCCAGAGCGCTGGCGGCCGATCTGCCCAGAGCGCTGGCGCCGGCGGCCGATCCTTCACCATCGCGTGGTGGAAGCCGTGGAACTGCCCGATCTGGTCCCGGAAAATCACTCCGATGGAGGATTGCTTCGAATCCAGCGATGTGGTGGTCGACGCCAGAAGAACAGTAGATCCGCCGCGCTGTGGCGGCGGCCGGAGTTGTCGAAGGTTGACGCGCCGATCTTGGTGCCAAGAACGTGGTGCAGGTTGATTCGGGCTTCCAGGAAACCGTCCGATTTCCTTACATTTTTACAAAGGGCAAAATGGGAAGTCAAAGGTTAAAATATAAACTCCTTAAAAATGAGAAAAAATCAATGTGGGAAGGTCAAATTAGGACGGAGGGAGTATATTTGATCCCGTTGTATTCATATTTTAAATTGTTTCTCATTTGATTTGATTAGATCAAATCTAATCTAATTTTAATAAAAATATGTAATAAGTTAAAAAAAAATAAGTTGAACGAAAGAGATTCTAACTATATTACAACTCTAGATCTCTTTGTAGATACTTTCAAGACCTATTGAAATATCGCATCCACTAAAAATTGAATATATGACTTTCCATTTAAAAAAGTCATCTCAGTGTCATTGAACCATAGGGTCTTTAAGATGAGCAAGGTAAAGTAAAGTTACATACTTTGGTTTTGGATCTGTATTCTCTAATCTACATAATTTATTCATTATGTCAAGACCATTTGCATGTGTTCCCTAGAATTTTAAATTAAATTAGATTGGGTTGGGGATTAGTCCACTCGAAAGATATGTACATTTAATGCTTAAAACAACTCTAAAAGAAAGTGAATCCAATCATTTAGTTAGACAACCACAATTTCTGATACACCTATATCTCTCTCTTTTTAAAGTTATTTTTGTCATATTATTTATTTCTTACCTTTATTGCCCAAGGATTAATTAACATATTGCTCACACTCTCCTTCATCATTGGATCATTTGGATGTATTTTTTCCTTCAACTTCAACATTTTATAAAATCTTCAAAATTTTCCAAAATTCTCACATATTGTTGAGCTTTTAAAATCTTCCAAAACTTCCCCAAAAAAGCCATTTTCTTCAAAATATTAATACTCATAGGGCAAGAAGTAAGGTCAGTGTACATCTCACCCTTCCCATAACCTTCTTACGACTTAGACATACTATGTATGTTTGGTTTTATTTACTTTTAAATAAAAACGGATACTTATAATTGCCACCATAAGGAGGTGGCATCATAGGCTGGCAGCAGATTATAGATGAAAATTAATTCATCATGTAATTCTTTTGTTCAAAAAACAATAGGTTTGCATGGTTCCATCAAAAAAATTGTTAAGAATAAGATTGGACATTACTCAACTTTAAAAGAGCTATTGAGAATATGATTATTGTCCAACCTTTTTAAAGGGCAAATTTTTAGATGGTGTCTGTTCAACATATAATTAATGACTAGATTAGATATGGTTGGTTAAATACCTAGGGTGGGCCCCAAATGTATGGGTGAGGGGCATGACCAGGTGGAACGGCTGAGTTGAAATACGGAGGTATGAAAACCCGGTGACCATAATATCCCTGCAGATAACACCATCAGATTACTAACTACAATCACTAAAGTAGCAATGCAGTAAGAATTATCTACTCTATATGCTTAATTCTATCATCTACATGTAATGCTGCCAAGTCAAGATACATGGGAGCGTTCCCATGATCTTGCCAACAATTTAAAAACAACAATTATAAGCACAAATTATGGAGAAATTTAGCATTCAAATTGTAGAGGGTGTGGGAATCTAAGTGTGACTGTATTTGTTGTCTAACTCACCCCAAAAGAGCTTTAAAGAAGTGAGGATATTTAATCGATGTGGGATAACTCAAACAGTATTGACACTTAAATATACAAATGTTATGCTAACTTTCCTAATTTCAAGAAATGTGAACTTTTTGCTCACCGATGTGGAAGGAGATGATTTATCGGGCTTAGAACATTTCCCTTTCTTGCTGCTCCACATGACTAATCAATGATCCACAAGTACCCTTTGCTTTCTTTTCACTGATTAATCAAAATTAAGCTAAGTATTTGTGTATCGAAGCTTGGCGAAAGACTTCAAATTGAACAAACCGATTATTTTACGAGCTTGTGTTTAAGCATAGCAATAAAGTTGAACATATAAGGTGGAATACAACACGCGAAAAACACATACAAATTAACTATTGAGGTTGAAGTGTGAAACATTATAATCTCTCCTTATGTTCAGCTACTCAGATTCTTTATTTCCACCATAAACACTCTAAGCACTTGATGCATTAGGGTGTGTTTGGCATGCCATTTTACCCCATTTTGCATTGAGGGCCTCAAAATTTTGTGTTTTTAGGATTAGCTTTTACCTCTGTTTGTATGAAGGGTATTAGTTGAATGGATAAAAACGAATTTCAAAGCTTATAATTCTGACAAGCTTTTTTATTGAATTTGTCCTTTTTATGTACCCAATTCATAATTTATGAAATTTATTATTGTTTCTAAAATGCAGATGAATTTTTTAGAGGACATGGATAGTGATAGTGTTGATTCTTATGACATGGACAGTGATAGTGTTGATTCTTATGACATGGATAGTTTGGACAAGAGTGATAAAAATATGGAAGAAGACGCGACACCAAAAGTTGTTGCAAATGAGCAGTTACAAAATGATGTAGAAGCAGAAAGTTTTGATCAGTACAAAGTTATATTAGACTTGACCAAGGAAGATATCGATGTGATGGAGTGGTCAAATGCCGAAAATGCTTATAAATTTTATTTTACATATTCTAAATGTCATGGTTTTATGATTCGAAAGCATAATCAAATTTTCATGAAAGAGTTTGTATGCTGCAAAGAAGGACTGAGAGCTAAAAATGAGGGAGGACAGGAAAAAGGAGCATCGACCTCTTACACGCACAAACTACAAAGCAAAGTTGCGTGTGCGGCTAGACAAAAACAAGTTAAAATGTAAGGTCTCATCGTTTGAAGAGTGTCATAATCATCAACTATGTAAGCCAAATTTTGTTCCGTTATTGCCTTCATACTGTGGTTTGACCGATGTAGACAAAGCTCAAGTTAACTTGTTACACTCACAAGGTGTTAGAACTTGTCACATAAAGGGTTATATGATAGATCAAAAAGGTGGGTACATGAGTGTGGGATTCATTAAGAAAGATTTGTCTAATTGTATTTAACGACAAAAACAAGCAAAAATTAAAGACGGAGATATCTTAGCGATAATAAGCTATCTTCAAGGAAAGGCAGATAACGATGCTATGTTTTATTCGAGATACAAAGTTGGAGGTGATGATAAATTGAGTCATTTATTTTGGGCTGGCGGCATGAGCAGGTGAGATTATTAGTGTTTTGGAGATGTTGTTGTATTTGACAGCACATATAAAAAAATAAGTACAATAAACCTTTGGTTATTTTCTCGGGAAAAAATCATCATTCCCAAACTGTGGTATTTGGTGGTGGTATTGTTGCTGATGAATCCACTGAGTCGTATAACTGGCTTTTGAATACTTTACTTGATGCAATGTTTAATAAACATCCAACAACAGATGTGACAGATGGAGATATTGCAATGAAGAAGGTGATAAAGGCAGTTTTACCAAATGCATCTCATTGATTGTGTGCCTGGCACTTATCAAGGAACGCTTTAGAGAATATTACGGATTCATCATTTTTAGTAGATTTTAAGAGAGTGATTTATGGTAATTTTACGCCCGAAGGTTTTGACAAGTATTGGGTGAATATGGTTTCCAAACATGAACTCAAAGAAAACAGTTGGGTGTTACAAGTGTATAAGAAGAGAGGTATTTGGGCTACTGCTTTTTTACGAGATCATTTCTTTGCAAAGCTTCGAACCACTACTCTTTGCGAAGGCATCAACTCTGTGATAAAGATCTATGTGAGGAGGAAAAATACAGTTGTTGAGTTACTATCCAATTTTGAGCATGCTTTGAAAGCGTATAGATCTAATGAGTGGAATTCTTATTTCACATCGCTTTACACAGAACCCGTGCTTACTACCTCTCTTCCGAAGATTAAGCGACATGCCTCACATATTTTTACACGAAATGTTTTTAAGCGGGTTAGAGCACAGATTGTCACCGCTGGTGGACTGAATGTGATTAAGCGAGATTGTCACTGCCCGTGCTTACTACTTTTCTAGTTAGGTGGATTACATGATAAGTGATAAAACTTACTTTTCTTAGGTACTTTCTCCTAACATCTTTTAGTTTGAACTCACAACTTTCATGTTTTACAATGACATTTTCAGAATTGCTCATCATCCCATTTAATAGCGTGGGCAATTAAAAATCCCTAACCATGCAAATCTACGATACAACAGTCTCATGACATCGACAAAAGAAAAAAAAGAAAATTTTTCGTACGCAGAGACAAAATTAATTAAGTAAATGTTAATAAGGAATGTTCAAAAGAAGGAGAAATTCCTAGAAATTGGATATGTGTATAAATTTTAATATGAAGTGGTATTTTTCATTACTCTTAATTAAACAGACATTTTTTATTTGATATTTAATATTTATCCCAGGGATAACATTTAAATTAATATTACCGAAATCAAAGAGATACAACAATATCCAATTTTCAACCATAATAATGGTTACATGCATATGAAGACAGAACAAATTTCGACGGGTAACATGTAAATTATTATTACCCAAATTAAACAAGTACATCAATGTGCAATGCTTAACCATCATAATGATTACGTGCATAAGGAGACACAAAGAAACAATTACAAGCCTAGAACATACAACCATTACAATTACAGTCAATAACAATAACAAACACAATGGCAATTAACAAATTGTCCTTTTACAAACCAAATCAAATCAGGTACCAATGAGAACAAGCAAGAGTCCTTCAGGCTATTTCTCAAACACATGGACTTCTTCCACTTTAGGGATTGGAAGTTTGGGAACAAGAGGGCTAGACAGTGACAATTTAGGGCCACTGACAAAATCACCCTTAAAGAGAGTTTGCAATTCAGAATCTTCATTATTGCTATTTATATTTCTTACTAGGAGTTTTCTGGATGAACAGTCCCCGAATCAATTCCCTTCACCACTTGAAGCAATGGATTCCCCCAAGAGCATGTCAGAATTTCTTTCGCTTAAAGAGAAACTATCTTCTCCCAGGTCCATCTCTCGAACATTGCTAAACACCTCCAAGTCTTTTCCATCATCTAGTTGAGAAATAAAAAAAGTGAATGTTCAAGTACTTGTCTTGTAATGGAAACTGTTGAAGGATTAGAAATAGTAAATTACTTCTTTTTAAACAAGGCACCTTTATAAAAAGTATGCCTTCTTGGCTGTGATGTTCCCACAGGTCTTGGGGTAGTTTGGAACACTGCAAAAGTTGAACCATGCTCCAATGTTGCTGTATTTGGCCTCAGGATTGTCGGTACTGCAAAGGGTGCCAAAGCTGCTAGTGCTTCGCAAACCATTGGGATAGATATTAACAGCAAAATGCTTGGCTTAGCTAAGAATTTGGTGTGACTGAATTTACCAATCCAAAAAACCATGACAATTCAATACAGTAGGTTATATAACATGGTTATGTAGTTAGATATGACATTACCTCTTTAAACAATTATTTGATGACAAATATGGAGACTTAAATGTTAATTGACTTACTGTTTATGTAATCTTTTAAGTGGATGGCAAATGCCAACTCATAATGATGTTTCATTGTGTCTCACCATATTTGTGCCACCCAAGGTTCATGTTATACCACTTCTGCAGGCATGACATCAAACAAGGTATCGATATGCATGTTTAAAACTCCCTAGCTGCAAATAGATAAAATGGAGTGGGTGGGGGGTTGAGGTTAACTGAATCCCTAACAGAGGAACAAACATGGAAAAATACTATAATCGAAGGACCACGAGTGTAATTTCCCTGAATATAGAAAATGAGCAGAACATTCTTTAATTCCAACTTTGCTGGGACTGATTACATGAATTTTTTAGTGTCAGGATTAATGAAGCAAAGTATATTTCTTCCTGTAAATTAATGAAGCAAAGTATATTTCTTGCTATAAATTATTGTATGGAATTAGTCACCAAACAAAATTAATGAAGCAAAGTATATTACTTGTTGTAATGTTCTTGTTACTCTGTTGACCAAGGTTTACTTCTCTTTCATTTAATTCCTGTTTTATCATGATTATGTTTTGGCAATACAAAATCTGTTACATACCTTCAACACCATTTTCTTGGCAACAAATATCACAAGATTGGCGATTGCTACTGTAATTACTTAATGTGTATGAATTATAAGCACATGCTATTCTATTATTACATAAATGTAGTGTTATAGTAGTGAAATGTGTGTCAACAGTTGGATCAAATTGTTATCTTTTCAAAAAGCTGTTATCTATTCTGTTAGGTTTGCTCAAACCCTCAAAGTAACACGATCACTTACAAGAGGTCAACAATTGAACAAACTATTATCTTTTCAAAAAGCTTATCTTTTTGAAAGAATATTAGATTATAAATATTTGTAATGAAAATTGAAAGTCAAAGATTGTTACTTAGTTCTCAATTCATACCTTAAATCTATACATACGACATCATAGAAACTTTCATGGTGCAAATCATATAAACAATAAGAAACACCCCGGATTGAAACATGAAAAAATTATACTGGAACACAATTACTAACTAGTCTCATAATAATTGCTTTGAGTTGAGAGAATAGAATGATGTGTATCCCTCTTATAAGGGCAGTGGTAATGGGCGTAACGCCCTACCACGTTAAACTGATTTTGACGCCTGGGGGGCGTTAAACACCGCCCCCCTCCCCCGTTATCGGGGCGTTAAAAGCCCTGCGTCATACTTTTGACGCAATTTGAAGGCATGATAACGCCTCTTTCTTCTTTTTTTCTCCTTTTTTCCTCTTTTCTTCTCTATAAATTCAGCACAAATACAAATTTCTCTATCATCTTTTTTTAAAAAACTATTATTCAATTATTTTTTTATTTTTTCATAAATGTAATTTTTTATTTAATGAATATAATTTTTTTATTTAATAAATGTAGTTTTTTATAATGAATGTAATTTTTTATAATGAATACAATTTTTTAATGAACTATTCTCGTTTTAATTCTTTTAAATAATTAAATATTTAAATTTAATGAATTTAATTTTAGAAGATGTGTATTTAAAATGTAAAAAATGAAGGTTTGAAGCCCCAGTTTGAAGCCCTGGGGCTTCAAACCCATTTCCAGTGAAAATGTGAGTTAAGTTAAAGCTGACGTGGCAGAGAGAGAAGGTTTGAAACCTCAGGGCTTCATGGGTATTTCCAGTGCTCTAATGGAAAATTAAAAGAAAAAACCTGGCAGCTTGAATCCGAAGTTCAAAGATGAGATCCGACCTAGAGAAAAGAATATGAGTCAGGCATAGACAGGTTTGGAGGAAGGCGGCAGCGGTAGCGGCGGCTTCTGATTCCAACAAAGAGAACGCTAGAAACGATTTTGGAGGGCGACGATATTGGAGACGATGTTGGAGACGGCGGTAGATGATAGGGGTTAACAGAGATAGGAGATGTGAGAAAAGGTGGACACCAAAACAAAAAATAATTCAATTTTAGACCTGGGGTTTGATTGTAATAAACAAAACTATGTTAAATGATGTGGAATATATGGTACCATATGTCTACCTCTCATTGGCCCATGTGCTGAGTGTACCAAAACCCTCACTTTTAAACATGTACCGAAGGAAAAGCCGATCAAAGGAAGGTTGCAGAGACGACGGCAACTGATTTTGCAGCAATTTGTGATGCAGTATGGAGAGCCCGTAATCTGAAGATTAAGTAGAATCAAGATGTTTTCCCTAAAGATTGTAGTGTTTGGATTAGGGATTATGTGCGCATTTATATTAATGCTAAGCTAAAGAGGGTGTGGCTGAGTTAAAGATGAATGTTTATTTACTTTGTCTTGATAGAGTTGTTCTTGGACTAGGTTGAAGTGGTGAATAAAATCTTGTGCATTTGTTCAAAAAAAACGCTGCTTTGCAGCGTTCATCCTCCTAAATTTCTAACAATTGTAGTATTGGAAAACAAAGTTGTAGAGAAGATTTACACATGCTAAATGAATTATGTATTAATTCATTATCATATAGGATTATCTTTGAAGTTTCAAACAATAAAATTTCTAATATTTTATATTTTGTTATGATTATAAATAAAAGTTAAGACCAAACATTTTTCAATTATATGATTATTTTTTACCAAGTCGGTATTTATAACTTACAAATAATCTTATATTGTTATTTCGCAAGTGAGAGTAAAAATAAAGTTGAAAGTATTAATTTTAGATGCATTTGATAGTCTTTTATATTATCACAAAAATGTTGCACAACTAATTTTTTTAAAATGTTTTAATTTAAATAAAACTTTTACATGTTAATTTTAAAATTCGGAGTAGAATTTTTATTAGCAAATGTTAAATTTTTAATCATTATCTTAATTTTTACGGTCAATATTTTATTTGTTTGATTTTTTGAAAAATATTATAGAGAAAAAAAATTACAAAATCAGAATGAAACATTCGATTTAGTCCATGCCTGAAATGGTTTAAAATACTAGTTTTTGGAGGTGAGCAAGTACCAAACCAATACTGAAAATCCCGAAAAAACCGAACCGAAAAATACCAAACTGAAAAAATACCGAACCATACCGAAACAAATGTTCAGATCGATATATATACTAATATATTATAAATATAATAATCTTCAAATAATAAGTTTATTTTTAAAATTTTGCACAAGTTTTATTATGTGTACATTGTACTTTTATTTGAGTTTAATTTTTTGTAGAAGAATATAAAAATAGTAACACACATTTGAAATATCATTTTGTTATCATCCGTTCACTGTAATTAGTGAGATATAAACTAAGTTTAATAAGCATTTCTTGCATTTAATTTTTATTTTTTTTTCATTTTTTCATTTTTTGTTTAAATGTACTTTCGATTTATAAAAAATAAATATTTTTGTGACATCTTAAAGTTTAAATTAGGTGCATATGTTTTTATATTGATTAGTCCTAAAATAAACATTCAACAACGAACTATCTCGAACTATATCAAATCAAAATTTCAAGATCGAAATTGGGATCAATACGACATCAAATCTCATGTCAAACTAAAAGATTTGGTATGGTATCAGTACGGACCAAATAATATACCATGCTCACCCCTGCTAATTTTGATAAGATTTCACTATCATATCCAGAGACACTTTCATGTTCTTTTTTTTTTAGCCCTTCGACCAAACAAAGTTGATCCGTGTATCTTTGACTCTAGAAGGTTTGTTTTCAAGTCGACGGACGTCTTCAAAGTTCAAACGTAAAACCCATCTTCTTCTTTGCGTAACTCTCACACTTTCTCTCTCTATAACAAAAAAGAGGAGACAAAAGTCTGCCAGTCTGGTGAGAAAGGGCCTTCATCTCCTTCATCTACCACGTTCTTCTCCCCTGTATTCCATTCACCTCTTCGCTTGATTGCGGCTTTGCAAGGCGGCTCGATTCGCCCTAAACGCCGCAGCACAGATTAAAACCGATCGGGAAATGGGGACGAAGGCGGCGCTGATCTATGCGTTCGTGGCGCGCGGGAACGTGATACTGGCGGAGCACACCGACTTCAGCGGTAACTTCAACACCATAGCCTTTCAATGCCTCCAGAAGCTTCCGGCATCCAACAACAAGTTCACCTACAACTGCGATAACCACACCTTCAACTACCTTGTGGATGACGGTTTCAGTAAGCATCCCTCCTTTTACCTTGAAATTTACTTGAAATGGAAATCGCTCTTATGATCGGATTTTGTCTACTGGACCTTTTGTAGACTATAGGGAGATTCAATATGGTTTTAGTATATCATGCAGATCTTGTGTATCAAGGCTTAGAAAGAGGGGTCTTATGCATTGGGATCAATATAAGGGGAAACTACTCTCTAAGTGTGGAATGATGAGCTAGTGAATTTGATGCACGACTCACAATTTCTTGTCATTAGATATTGACAGTTCTCTTCTTTGTGATGCATCCTTTAGATTTAATTCTTATTCTTAAACTGCCAATTTTAAAAATAGATTTTGCTTTGGCAAAAAAGCCGAAGTTGTTTGAACTTGCAAAAGAATGTGATAAATACTCAATTCAAGGTTGTTTATTGGTTCCAGCTTTTGAAGCCCATAAGAAAGCTCACTTTTAAGATTGCACCAAGGTGTTGTCAAGTACTGCATTTGTTGTGACCTAGTTATGACATTTCCCTTAAGTCTTTGTAACTTTGCTTGTAGTTCTTAGTGTTCAAGGTATAAATAAATTCCCATAAGTCTATACAAAATTCTTTAAGTACTTAATTTTCAAGTATGGACTCTCTAGGAGCTTATGGTGAATTTGGCGAAATAGTAATTACATTACAGTGGTGCAATATATGGAGTACATTTTAAGCTGAGAATTTAATGAGGGTGTTTGGCACTGCTCTTAGCTTTTGTGTTGGATAAAAATAGAATGATAATGTACGGCGTGCTTTTGTTATCTGATTTTCAGCTTTTGACAGATGCAAAAGCACATCTGAGATACTTTTGGATTTTGTGTTGGCGTGTTTAAAATACACACTTTTTTCCTAAAGTAAAATTAATCCCTAACACGCTCGATGTATTAAATTCATTAACGTCTTCAATAAGACATAATTATATTGTTGTGAGGACTGCATGGTGGCTATTGGTCTAAGAGAATGTTAGATATAGTGTCATACCCTACTCTATAGCATAGCTTGCCAATGCATATGCAATTATGTGTTTTACACATGAGTTCACAATTTTGCTTGCTAGGACTGTCAAATAATTAGATACTAGAATAAAGATCTCTTAATAGTTCATTTCAGTTGTCTGTTTGATGCTTTTAACCCAAGTTCGTGTACAAATGGTATTTGAAATTCTATATTGCACATTTGATAGTTTTTTTATGTAGTGGTTGATGATCGATTGCATATGAATGTTTGGTCTTCAAGCTAAGTCAACACTAGAAAATGTTTAGTATCAGATATGTATAACTGATATTTATTTTTCTAGAGTCCAGTATTCCTCAGATTTATTGAAAAGGCACCCTTCCTTTTCGATCCGTCATAAATGCCTCCTTCCCTGCAAGATGTGTATGTTTGTAGGATGACTAATTTGTACTTTTGCAGCTTATTGTGTGGTTGCTGAAGAATCATCTGGCCGACAGATTCCTATGGCATATCTAGAGCGTATTAAGGAAGATTTTGTGAAAAAATATGGTGGTGGAAAGGCTGCAACTGCTCCTCCTAATAGCCTTACCAAGGAATTTGGGTACCCAATTTTTACACAGGAGAATTTGTGGGAGATATTCTTTTATCTCATCTGATTGGATTGAACTATTATTTGCAGGTCTAAGTTGAAGGAGCATATGAAATACTGTGTTGAGCATCCAGATGAGATCAGCAAAATTGCTAAGGTTAAAGCTCAAGTTTCTGAAGTCAAAGGTGTCATGATGGAAAATATTGAGAAGGTACATAAATGTTCGTTAGTTTAAAGCTTTTTTTTTATGACTCACTTATGAGCATGCTGTGCCCGCTCCGGATATATTTTGGTGTATCAGGTTTATTAGTGGATACAATTCCACAAAAAGATAACAAAATAGGTCGAGTACTGAAATTAAAACTAGTGCCCAACAATTAACTGTAGGGAACAACTTTTATTCAATATAGCCACTCATAAAATCATAAAAAGACAAAGTGTAACTCTTTAGTGTAATACTGTAGTATATGATTGGGGACATGTCAAAAAAATTATGGTTCGGGACGTGTATATGTTGTATATTTTTGAATCTCTCTCTTTCTTGCTATAAACGATCATCTATTCGTTCCCTGCTGTTGGTGAAGAGGCAACATAAAATGTAGAGGGGGGTAGTGGTTCGGTCTCCGGGCAGTTTTTAGGCCAGTTTTTCCTCCCACTAGCCCCCAAATCTCATACCTCAGCTTTACTCTGAGCCAGCCCACTCCAAACCAACAGGAATTCCAGATCCCAACCACCCTGTCAAGGCGTCAACCAATTGAGATCCCGAGTCTCTGCCTTAAACGCGTGTAGGCTCAGGCATATGCCAATCATAACCCAATCTTCAATGTGTGACCTCAGACCACCAGCCATACCCTTTTCTTTTTTCACTCCTATTACTTTATCTTATTAGTTTTACTCACCCCTACCCTACCCTTTTATCATACTTTTACTATCTAATTACTTTTATTTATCTAATTAGGGTTTTTACTCAACCCAAAGCCCACCCCCACAACCCGAAGTCCACCATGCAGACCTAAATTTGTTCAAGGCACGATGCATATGGATGCACAAAGAGTTATGGAGCCTCGATGCGGGATGGGCGCGTATCACGAATACGAGGCACAAATGAAGAACAAGTAGCATAACATCTCTAAATTAGTAATAATACACATAAAATTTTGAAAGACAAGCAAATTTTAGAAAGCAACCAAGAATCAAAGTCGGGCATAGTACCATAAGGCATTGACAAATTTTAAAAAACAAACATCTCTAGAACAAAAAATGCCATTGACAAAAAAATGATGAACGCTTCACAGAAACTGATGTGTGAAACATCAGATGAGATAGCTATCAAAAAAATGACTTGCTAATATGCTGTGACAGAAAAAAATACAAAAGTTATATGAAAAAATCCATTGTTCAGTGCCAACTTGCTGTGAATCTACTACTTGGATGAAAAAATATTTCAAATAAAGAAAGATTAAAGCGTGCTAGAAGAATAGAGGTAAGTCCAAGAAGAAGAGAAAAAACCAGCAAAAAAACCTGACAAGCTCACAACTCACAAGCAATAGAGTGAGAGTTCAAGCAGTGAAGGAAATCTGAGCAATCCAAGCAGAGGTGCAGTGAACCAAAAGACCAGTGCAACGTGTTTATTTCTTTGAAGGAGAAGGTCAAAGCAGAGGGGTGGAAGAGTGAGTCTTAGAAGGTGAGTGTAGAGCGTCAACCCTAAACTTAAACAAAGAACTAGAAAAGAAGAAAAGGACAGACCAGTTCATGATGCACTCATTCTTGCCCCTCAGATCGCATCGCACAATGTGATGATGGCATGATGTGCGGTTTTGCGCATGCTTCATGTAGGTTGCTTGCATCAGTCAAGATAATGCATAGGGCCCGTACCTCAAATGGAGACAGACGCTCTTTTCACAACAATGCATAGACCACAGCTTGTCGGCAATTTTGATCTGCTTCCCCAATCCTTAAGCTCCCTATTGTTTTCTTTTTTCGTTAATTCTTAACGTTAATTGTTGTTTTTTCATTTCCTTTTATTATTTTGTTAAATTTTTCTTAACTTGGTTCTTGGTTATTCTTTACGTTGATAGTTGTTTTTATCAAGGGTTAGTAGATAAATCTTATTTACTTCTATACTTGCTAGTTGTTGGTGTGTTGCTTGTCAGCACCATTTATTGAGGTAGTTTTCTTCTGTGGTCTCTCTTCAGTACTTCTGGCTAAGTACTAAATTTTTTCTTGTGTTCTTTCTTTTTGTTGTGTGGTGTCAGCTTCTAGTGGCTTTGGTTAATAATGGCTGCATAAGTTTGTAAACTTGGTTGGGTTGTGGGGTAGAGGAGTGCCTAGTTTAAGGTTTGGGTTGTGGAACATAGGGCCCTTAACATGCAAGTCTATAGAGTCGATGAAGGTCCTTGAGAAGAAGATGATTCATGTTGCGTGCGTGCAAAAGACTAGATGGGTGGGCACTAAGACGCGTGATGTGTTGAGTTCAAGTGGTGGTGCTCCAATGCTTTGGGGATTAAGATTGAGGTTGGCATATTGGTTCCTGTCTTCCTGACGATCTGTATAGGGAAGGGACCTTAGAGAGCGAGGGGGTGAGGAGAAGGTGTGGGATCTGAAAATGTGCAGGGTGTTGCTCGATGTGGTGGAGGTGTGGAACATGTGGCAGTTATACTTTCATGGGTTTTTGAATGCGGATAGGGATGAGAATTTGCTACTTAGTGGGTGGTGGCAATATGAGAGCCATCAAGATTTTAGGCAATGTCGGTGTCGGCGTATTAGACATGAGGAGGCGGTGAGGGCCATTCGCAGGATGAGAAGGGGGAGAGCCCTGCAAACGACTGAGATTCTGATAGAGCTCTGGAAGATTGTGGGCAACGATGGGTTGGTGTGGGTCACCAAGTTTAATATTATTTTCAGGACGACTTGGATGTTTGGTGAGTGGAGAGAAAGTATGGTGATCCCGTCGCACAAGGACAAAGGTAATAGACAGAGTTGTGATCATTATAAAAGCATCAAAGTGCTTAGTCACTCCATAAAGGTCTAAGAATGCATCATTGAGGCTAGGTTGCCGTAAGAAATGAGCATTTTCGAGAACTAGTATGGCATGCCTTGTTAACCACTAAGGCAGTAATATGACCAACACATGGTGTTTATTGATTTGGAAAAGGCGTACAATAGGATTCTTAAGGGAGAGTATGGATGTGCCTATATTTCAGAGGGTTACCGGTTTCTTACATCCGTGTGGTCAAAGACATGTATAATGGAGCAAGGACCAAAGTGAGGTCATTAGGAGGTGACTCTAACCACTGCCCGATGGAGATAGAGTCACATTGGAGGTATGCCTTTAGCCCTTCATTGTTTGCATTGGTGATGGTGAATTGGTGATTGATATTCTAACATGACATATTCAGGGGGAGGTACCTTGGTGCATGTTATTTGCTGACGATGTTGTTCTGACTATCAAGACACACAAGGGACTCAATGATATTATGATAGGTTATTGTAGTTCGTTTGCATTTGAGCTTGAGCTAGCTTCAAATGATGGCATGCCTCTTATTTTTCATTTTGGGTCCACAATTTTTTGACACACCACTTTCACATGGAATTAGACATGGTGGATCCCTACCATTACAATTCTAGTCCTTTTGTGTCTTTTGTGTTGCTAGCTTTTTCCATTCTCTCGTACTACATATTTGTTTCTCTTCTTTTTGGCAGGGGAAAGGCTACACCCACCCAGATCCAACGGTGTGGGAATATACTGGGTAGATTGTTGTATAAATCAATGAATTAACACTCTATAAAAGATAAAGATAGCATCAAATTTATAACATTCTAGGTAGGATAAAAGGTAGTGTCTCCCTTTGTCTTTGAATGAACTTTACACTTTCCTTTTTTGGACGTCTAAAAATCATAATCACACTTCTCCACCTTCTCTTTTAGGAAACAAATGTGGATATTATTGACTCTCTCTGTTTCAGCTAAGTTTCAACCACGCTTTTCACCAACTTTTCAATACTTAGTTTAATTTTTGTGAAGGTTTATTTGGAGACGGAGGGAGTATCTAATATCTATTATTCCTGACTTACTACTGTGAAATACGGAGAATATAAATATTCTTTTAATAAAAAAATGCCATTTTAGCTAAAACAAAATTTCAAATAAATCAATAGAGTTGCCGAGTACTTGTCTAGGTGCTGCCAAACTGCCCTGACTGATTTTTAAACTGATTTGGGCCAAAATCAGGGTTGGTAGGATCACCTAGGACGATATCTAGAACATTGATTTGAATATCTTTGCATACACATGTACACAAAATCTTGTCACCATTAGCTACTGCTACATGAAGTCTTGTTTGCCGTGCATGTTCCCTTGCCATTTCCTCACCATTGAAATTATGGGTGCTCCGTGTGTTAATTGAGGCCATGCCAGTAACATGCAAGCATGTGACCTTTCGATATGGGAATTATTTACCCTGGAAATCTCTGCGAAAGATATTCTAGATTGTCTGTATGATCGTGAGGATCTTTTCTCTTCCTCTTCTCCACCGAGGCAATCAACACAGGTTCTCTAATTTGGTCCTGGGTATGTAGGTTTCATCACCTTTATAGCAAAAGCCTTTAGGGTGGAACTCCCTTGTTTCTGCTTGTGGAATTATTTTTATCATGGACATGAGGGTCGTTTGGATGTTTGGGTTGTTTCCAAGGGGAGTGAATCACGGACTATGGATGCAGTGTTTGAGTAGGTTTTGGATGACATTGCTTGAGTGCGTGGATGCCCTAGTTGGACATAAAATTGTTGAAACTGTTGGAAAACATATGAGTTAAATGCTTGGCCCTTGAAAGATTCTATGTTTTTTGCATCTTAACACCAATGCTTAGAGCTTCATATAGACCTGCTTTAAATGAACCAATTTGTTTTTCTGGTTGAACTGCAGAGACCAGCAAATTTTGTGATGGGTTTCCAACATTGCATCATGTTTGCTAACTCTCTATTTGATTTGCACTTTAATGGGGGAAACTGAAGAGTACAAAAATATTTAAGGCCTTTTTCAGGATATCAAGTTTTAAAAATAAATGTTTGGTGAAGATAAAAAGGGATTCAAAATTGATCTGGGGATATGGAAACTCTTTAAAAAGAGGGGGACTACATATCCTACTAATTTGGGGATATAAAATTTTTTACTTTCAAATCCCTTTCATGTTTTTCCTCCTCTTTTCTGCTAGGAATTTTTCTTCTCAAGAAAACCCTTAAAATTTCTTCATCTTTTCATTCCTAACACCATTTCCATCCCATCTAGTCTTCTTCAAATTATTTTGCCAATTTACTTTTCAGTCTTTTTTCGCTACAATTTTCCGCTACAATTTTTTGTTGCAATTTCTCAAATTTTCGTTGCAATATACTTTTTGTTGATGAAGGTATTAGAAAATTGCGTTGCAATCTTTCTCAAATTTCAGCTATAATTTTATTTCCACTGCATTTCTTTTCTGAAATTTAATTTCTGTAATTCTTCTGTAATTATTTTATATAACTTTTCTTTGCAATTATTGTCGTTTTTTTTTTCTCTGCAAATTTTTCATGTAGCTATTTTGCCATTTTTTGCTTCCAAAACCAACTTTCACCTGCAAGTCTGCAACTTTCATTAAAAATATTCACACAAAAAATAATAAATCAAAATCAAGAAAACATGAGAACTTCATTAACAAGAAGTAAAAATACTCCGTATAATTTTAATGCACATTTTAGCCGATATACTCCGTAATATGTCTATATTAAAACAAAATTCAACACCCGCATTTGATTTCTTAACAGATTTCTTAACTGCCTAAACAGCTATGACTATGAATTGGTTTCATTTCTGTTTTCTCGAACACTTTTGTTTCAAATTTTAGAACCTACATCATTTCTTCCAAATTTTAGAACACATATCAACTCTCCAAAACTCAACAAAGGAGTCCTAAATGTATGCCGAGTTGACCTTGGTTTTTCAATTTACAGGTTATTAGACCCATGGTTGTACCTCACTAGAGATACTATGGTGTTATTAAATGCATAGATTAGACCTATGATTGTGCCTCACTAGCCATAGATTATGATCCCCGTCATTTTTTCAAAATTTATTTGCAGCTTAACTAAATGCTTCGTATGTTATTTGTTTGACTCTTTTGGAAGATTGTACAAACATTAGTGTAATTTGATCAAGCGTATTTTTTGTATGACACAAAAAAATGTTTGAAACATGAGAGAGCTATGACTTGTTTCTCCAATGTGTCTCACATCCGTTGGTAATACTCGATTACTACTAAATATTGACTTGGATCAAATTCATAATCACTTAGGGCTTGTTCTCTTCACCCTGATTGGATAAGTTCTGGTCTGATCTAATATGAATGTGGTTATACTTAAATATGTTTTTTATCTGAACTGAACTGACTCCAATAAGAATAAGTACTAAGTAATAAGAATAAGTTGGAGAGAATAGGCTCTTAATCACAATAGAAACTCAACTGAAATACTTAGCAAGTCTCATAATAGTAACAGCCTCTAGTCTTCTTTCCTCAATCCCAACATAATTATCTTCTTCATTTTCATCAAGCTTAACATTTCCCTTTTCCTCTTCTCCTTTAGACTCCTCACAATTAAACAATGCCTCCTTTTCATATTCGGGTTCATTGTAGTGCTCTTTTTCTCCTTTATTTTACTATCTTTCTTGCCAGCCTACATTTATTTTTTATCCTTTTGATCGCTGATGGTCTATGAGAAACAACCTCTCCTCCCCTCACACATAGAGGTAGAGGTGTACACCCTCTCAAGACCCCACTAATGGGATTACAGTGAGTTTGTTGTTGTTAGGGTTCCTTGTAGTGCTCTCCTAAATCAGATCCCTATTCCATCTCCGTACTCTTGAACCAATTGTTCACTTTTGAAGTTGAAGTTTCAAGTGGACTTCACTTATAATCTGTGACTCCTTTCTTTTTCCTGCTTTACTCCTAGTATATTTTGATATATTATAGGCTATTAACACTATGAAGCCTCATAAACAGCAACCCAGTTGAGTGTCCTATTAATCTATTATCATAAATAAAACATACTCATTCCAGCATCTTCATTATTATATCCATCTACCCATGTCCAACTAACCTCCCATTTCACTTTTGAGTGAAAATATGTCAATTGAATGTATTTCATCAGTAAGTTTGTTCCTCTCTACAGGCTTTTACTTCTATTTTTGGACATATAAGCCAAATTATCCATCTCTAGTGTCCTTCCGAATGTTTCTGTAATTTGGGTTTGGATATACTTTGAAAGTGCTAGTCAGTTTCTACATGAATCACATATATGAAAAGAATTAAGATGGTTGACTATTTTTTATTTATAGCTATAGCTATGTAATATACTCTGTAATTCTTTCTTTTTCATACTTTCTCTCTTAGGAAATTAACTACTCCATAACTACTTGCATTTTCTTTAATGGTATTGAGACACAAAAATTGAAATAACTCAATAAGTCTATGTTCTTATTTGTGTTTTGCGGTACAGGTTCTGGACCGTGGGGAAAAGATTGAGCTTCTTGTGGACAAGACTGAGAATCTTCATAAGCAGGTTCAGCCTTTTCTTTCCTATACTTTTTTTGTTGACAAAGTATTGCTTCTGTCTTTGCCTTTTGTATACCACAAGGCTTGTGAATCACTCCATACAAATTGAAAGATGCTACTCCCAGCCCCGTTCTCCTATGTAACCTAAATCACTACTTGGCTTTCAAATTCGAGAGGACCCCACAAACTGACGCATAACGTGAGGAATGCTCGAATATGACTTTAAAAATCCTTAAGGCCCCGTTTGGTACACGGAATGCAAACAATGGAATTGGATTTGAGGACTTCAATTCCAATTCTCGTGTTTGGTAGCACAAAAATTATGTGAATTTAGAATTGGCAGTGCAAAAAATGAATTGGAATTGATGAATTCAATTCTATGGAATTGAATCTCATGGATTTTCAATTCCAATTCAATTTCAATTCCATCAATTTCGTATACCAAACGGACCCTAATTGTAATGCCTGCAATCGTGCTGTCTTCATAATAACTTCACACCACTACCTCCGAAATTCCCATCCCAATAGCATCTTACCTCCAATCAAGCCAAAATAAACGTACAAATTTGTACCTTATACTGTATTTTTTTGTTGGCGGGGCCGGGCAGGCACAAGATTTTAAAACCACTGGCACGAAAATCCGGCGAAAGATGTGGCTGCAAAACATGAAGGTGAAGCTGATAGTATTGAGCATTGTGATTGCCTTGATCCTCATCATTGTTCTTTCGGTTTGCCATGGCTTCAACTGTGGGAAGTGATCATGTCTTTTGTGGGGTACGATATACTAGTAGAAGGTACAATATCGTCTTGCTGTTTATGATTTCGAACTCACTTTTTTTTTTAAAGGAAGAAGACTGTAGCACTCTGTATGTATTATTTTAAGGGGTGCAGAAATTCTTTGTTTTGTGGTCCAAACTGATCTTACTTCTTCAATCTTATCTACATAGTTTTCTGGCACCAGACAATGGTTGGTAATTGTATACTTTTACCTTGACTCAGGTAAGGTCGTGTACATCTAATCCTCCCGTTGATGGTTTGCCTTTGATTTACTTTTATCGTGATTGTTTTCTTGTCTTATTTTGTTTTTCCTTGCATGTTAAAATATGCTACATTATTCATCATCATAAACCCCTCATTTGTTTCCGATCCCGGGACAAATTTCATAATTTGCCACTGCTTTTAGCCCGTAACATTCGGCCTGCCTTAAGGGTCAACGTTCTCATTGGTCACGGATGGCTCCACTAGGACACCGCTCCAAGTTAGGTTTGATACCACTTGTTATAGACCAAATAAGAGAATGCATCCCAAAATATTTGCTTTTATTATCTGTTGTCAAGATAAATCTCATATTTTGTGATTGGTTTCAGTTCCTAACAAAATACAAACACAAATTGTACTACTCCCTCTGTCCCAATTTAAATCGCCTGTTTTGACTTTTGGGCATATTTAAGGAAAATAAAAAATAGAATTGATTTTTTGATATTGACATTATTTTTTAGGATGGGTGATGATGAATGAAAAGATAAAGTGAAGAAAAGTGACTTATTTTAGGAGTAGCTTAGGTATTTTATTTTTAAAATTTTACGAAAACAAATAACAGGCAACTTATTTTGGGACGAAGAAAAAAAGCAAACAGGCAATTTAAAATGGGACAGAGGGAGTACCTAATCCAGGCTAATAGTACATATTTTTTTTGTGTGTCATGACATTGAGAAGGGTCCTCTATGTTTTTTTGGGCCTAGTGTCACCTCCCCTACCCACCAACCCTTCTCACCCTACCTTCTAAATGATGATGTTTCTTTGTCTCTAATTCAAAAACGAGAACAGGGCACACCTCGGGTCCAATATGACATTGTAAGGTCCATGAGGAAAAGCCTGGTTTCATAGTGTAACATTTGTTTAACAAACTTCAAAGTGTAGGTGCTGACATTGACTTCTCCATGCCAATCTTAAGAGGCTGTTTGACAATGATTAATTTGAGGGCAAAATGATTTTCCAAAAGTGGAAGCAGGAGCATTGAACATCCGCTTCTCCAAAATGGTATTTCCTGTGCCAAATGATGGTGGAGAAAAACAAAAGTTGACATGCTAAAATGACTAAAATAGTTACGATCTAAAGCAGAAGTTAAATTCTTAAAAAGCATCATACTGCTCGCATACGGCTCTTTAGATCATATCATCATAGGAAGTTTAATATTTTGAATGATCTATATCGAATTTTTTTTTTTTGAAAACTTATTGTACTTTATACGTAGTATAACTTATGTTAATAAATTTTCTCAGTATATTCACAATAAAGGGGTCACACGTCTACAATAATCAAATGGGGTACCTAAATTATACGGAATATTATTTTGTTATACAAACTTGTATTCCTAGATCCACTATAATTAAAAGCAGAGTGAATTTAGCAACACAAGAAGCATTATAGTTTAGGAATTTTCTTGCTGATATTCTTTTGTAGGACATCTGGTTTAGACTAACTCATTAAACTCTCGTCCCTCTTTGTTGCACAATGGTACATATCCTCACCTGGCAATGCTAGGAAAATCGTGAATTCTGAGATCACGACGGGGAACATATTAAATCCTAGAGGAATGCATGGGAAAAATTATTATCCAAAAAATTAACTAGAAGTTTAGATGATACTTGGGGAATGTGTTTACCATGATATCATTCGTGTTCAAATTCATCCATCGTAAGATTCACATTGTGATCTCCCATTGGGAACCTGTGACTTCTCATTTGGAAAAGGAATTCTACTAGACCACAAGGGTTTTTGGCCCGATCTTGTTCTATTGAATTGAAATTTTATATTTCCAATTATCTCTAAGATTTTCAATTTTTCTGAAGGCTAACACGATGTTTGGTTTAAGAAATTGAGAAGAAAAAGAAAAAAGAAAATAACTTCTCTCAATTTCTTCACTGATTGAAAAGAATCATGTTTTTCATTTATTAGCTTATTTTAGCTTATCATTTTATTTCCCTTTCACTTTTTTTTTCTTTTTAACCAAACATGAAAATTGATTTCATATCATTTTATTTTCTTTTTCACTCTCGAATTCTTTTAACTGAATACAAAGATTCATTCGATAAGAAAGTTACTCCCTTTGTCTTAAAATACTTATCCCGTTTTGACTTTTTACGAACATTTAATATCAACATTGGACCGATAATTAAATAAAAAATATATGGTTTACTAATGGGATAAAATAATATTTTGAAAATACTTTTAAAGATAAATCTAAAAATATTATTCTTGTATTAATATCTACTCCATCCGTCCCAATTTAAATCGGCTGTTTTGATTTTTGGTCATATTTAAGGAAAATAAAAAATAGAGTTGATTTTCCAAAATTGCCATTACTTTTTAGAAGGGGTGATGATGAATAAGAAGATAAGGTGAAGAAGAGTGACTTATTTTAGGGGTAGTTTAGGTATTTTATTTTTAAAAGTTTACGAAAACAACTAACAGGCAACTTATTTTGGGACGAAGAAAAAAGGCAAACAGGCAATTTAAAATTGGACGGAAGGAGTAATACGGAGTATAAATTTTATTTAACTAATGCTCAGATTTTATTATACTCCGTATGTGAACTTATCCTTCTAATAAACATATTGATCCATTCATATGATTCATATGAGCATAGCAATTGACAATTTGACATGACTAGACACAATCCATGGCATGACAAATGGGAAAGTAATTTGTGTAATTGGATTACGAATCACGCACGCTTATTTGACAAATCACACGACCCGTCGTTGATGAGGATATACATATATATATGCCCCTTAATTTGCGCAATTATGCTACCCAAGAATTGACACTCCACAATAATATGAAAAACTTTGAAAGGGAAAAAGCCAAGGAAAATGCTAGAGTCACAAACATTTTGTTCACAAACTTCACAAAATTGCTTTTTCCGAATTTTAAATTAAAATATATTTTATTATTTGAGTGCATCTTATTTCTAGAAAAATGTCAAAAAGGTAAGTTTGTGAATTTTGTAAACTCTTTATTCGTGACTCTAACATTACTCAAAAGCCAAGTTCAAAGTTTGTGGGTGGATGATGATGGGTACACATTTTAGTGAGTGTTTATTTAAGTTGAAAACCCAATACGACCACCTCATTGACAGCAACGTTGTCGTCTTCCCCGCTGGGGGGCTATTCAACCCCCACGACAACCTAACATACACCCTCCTATTCTGCTTTGACTTGCACCCCCTTTTCTTCATTTTTTTTTTACTCTTTCTATCCCCAATTTGATTATAAATTGGGTTTACGAGAAAAAATATCTTACTTTTTGAAATTATTTTATTTACAAATTGATATATCTATAAGAAATAAAAATTACGTGTCAAAAATTTTACAAAATAAGAACTGACAAGAATATTTTATTTTATCAAATACCTAATGGAATCGCGTAAACAAACAAAAGTTATCGAGATGAGAGAGAAAAAATTGTAATCTAATTGAGGACATAGGGAGTATTTATTAAAATAAAACATTTTTTTTACCTATTTAGTTTTCATGGAGTTGAATAGAAATGCTGACTAATGATAATGGTTGAACGGTTGAACCAATGTCCCTTAAAAAAACTTACATAGTCAATAAGATATGCGTACATACTAACAAACACACTCTTCAAAAGGTTACTCTCTTCCATCTAGATTTGTTGTTTTGGTCATCTCAGTCATCGCATTAGATTTGATCTTTTGATCATCTCTCCACGGGATGAGAAGTGGGAGAGCTTTGTTAGACTATATGAAATATTTTTGGGGTCACAATCACAAGTTTGAGCTTTTGATTGAGTTGATTCCTTGACATGATATTAGATTCTTGTTGATTAAGAGGTCACGGATTCGAAACTCAACGCCACCCAGTTTTAAAAAATATAGTTTTACGTGCAAGGCTCGAAAAAACTATGCATGTATGTGAGGGAGCGTGTTAGAATATATGAAACATTTCCTGTTCCACAACCGCAAGTTTGAGCTTTTGGTTGAGTTGGTTCCTTGACATGGGAGGCCGAATGAGATTTCGGTGGAGTTTTGGAAGTTTGTGGGCCACTATGGGTTTGGTTAACTAAGCTCTTCAATGTTATTTTTAAGACGGCTTGGATGTCAGATGAGTGAATGGAGAGTGTGTTGGTCCCTTTATTTAAGGATGAGGGAGACATTCAGAGCTGCGAGAATCAAGAGGCATCAAACTGCTTAGCCACACCATGAAGGTTTGGGAGTGCATCATCGAGTATAGGTTGTGGAAAGGGGCTTTGCGTTTCTAAGATCCAGTTTGGTTTCATGCATGACCAATCAACCGCAGATGCCATTCACCTCCCGCGGATATTGATGGAAGAATATAGGGATAAGATGGATCATCATATGGTGTTTATTGACCTCGAGAAGACGTACAACAGGGTGCTGAGGGAGGTATTGCAAAGGTATCTTGAGGTGAGAGGGGTGTCAATAACATACATTCGTGCAGTCAAAGATCAGTAATCCAGGTAGATGGGGGAGTTGAATGTGGATGTTGCCCATAGTGTTAGAGCAGCTTGGGCTAAGTGGAGGTTAGCTTCAGGGGTCCTATGCGATGAGACGATCTCGAGTAGGCTGAAAGGAAAGTTTTACTGGTTCGTTGTGAGTCCGGCTATCCTATATGGCGCTAAGTGTGAGGCAGTTAAGAAAATCCACATTCATCAATTACATGTGGTAGAGATGCAGATGTTGTGGTGGATGAGTCGAAAGATAGACATGGATATGATTCATGACGAGGTTATCCAAGGATGGGTATGCGTGGCTCTAGTGGAGGATAAGCTATGAGAAGCTACACTGAGGTGATTTGAGCATGTGAGGTGGCGGAGTGCTGACAATCCTGTGGAGAGATGCGAGAGACTTGCATTGATTGGTGGGAGTGGGAGAATTGGTAAACCTAAGAAAAATGGGAAGGAGGTGATTAGTCAAGATCTAAGACTTCTTGCCTTACTGAAGATATGACCTTTAGATAGAAGCGTTTGTAGAGCTAAAATTATGGTAGTCAGGTAGGCACTTTGGTCTTAGTGCTAGGTTCTCCACTCGTGATGTGCTTTGTTTGCTTTGTATGCTTGGTACTTTTTGTTTGTTGCGTTCTTGTTTTGTTTGATTAGTTTGCTCTGTGCTTCTGTGTGCCTTTTGCTATCTATACTATATATGTCTTCTTTGATCTCATTTTATTCATGATGTTTGAGCCGGGGGTCTATTGGAAACAACTTCTCTACTCTTGAGTAGTGGCAAGGTCTGCGTATACACACCCTCCACAAACCATACTCTTGTGGGATCCAAATGGGGTTGTTGTTGTTGTTATGGTCATCTCACATCATCTCACCAGAGTCGATCATTTGCATCTCATTGACAAATTAAATTTGAGTTTTAATTTTTTTGATTTTGTTGTGTTGTATTTATAAATTAATAAAGAATAATATAAAGTGTTACTATGTATATTAATATATGTACGAATCTTCTCCCTAGGCTTGAGTAGTAAGTTCTCTCCTCGATATTCATGGGGAGCTCACATATGTTCGATTCACATTAGAGTGGAGGAATTGACTCACTGTGTGTCATTAAGTTGAGAAAGTATACATATATATTACTCCCTCCGTCCGGGAATAAACTTCCTACTCTACTTTTTTTTTCGTCCGAAAATAATCTTCTCATTCTACTATTTTATACCAATTCTTCCTAAATTAGCCTTCTAATAATACCCCACTCTTTTCTTTTTCTTCTGCCGTCTCTCCTCCCATCCACTTTTTCTTCTTTTTTCGTTTCTTTCTTTCTCCTCTCTTCCTCCGTCATCTCATCCTCCTCTCCTCTCCTCCACTCAATTTTCTTTTTTCTTCTTCTTTCTCCTCCTCTCTCTTCCTCCGTCATCTCCTCTTCTTCACCTTTCCCCTTCTTCTTTTCCCTTCTTTATCTCCTCTTATTTCTCTCATCTCTCTTCCATATCTGAGCTTGGCAGCGATGGTGGCAGCAGCAATGGTGGCGCCGACGATGGTGTTAGCGGGGATGATGGCGAGCGTAGATCTCCACTTCTCCTTTTTCTTCTTTTTCTTTTTTCTCTTCCTTCTTTCTATTATAGGGTGGCGTTGCTGGTAAGGGTGGCGCCGATGGTAGGGGGCGGCGATGGTGAGGATGCGTCCGTGGTAAGCCTAGATCTGCAATCTTCTTCTAATCTTTTTTTTAATTTCTTTCTTATAATTCTTTATTTCTTTGAGATCTAATGGTAGGGCTATGAATGTGATGGTGAGAGTGGAGCGATTACGGCAACGGCAGGGCTGGAGGCGAGGAGGGGAGGGGCTAGGTGGAGGCTGTGGTGGGTTCTTGATGGTGGCAGGGCTGGGAAAGAAAGGGGAGGATATTTTAGACAAATTACACCCATATTCAACACCCACTAAAAATGAGGAAAAGTCAAAGTAAGAAGTTTATTCCCGGACGGAGGGAGTACATTGTTATAGATTTAATAACATTAAAAAAAGATAAACATAGTTGTATAAAATTTAAACTACTTTTTTTTAAAAGATGGATCATACTAGTATTTCGAGACTGATCAAATAACTCTTAGTCCTAATCCGATCTGGTCTAGTCTTTCTATAAACAATCACTTGCCTAATACCGATTTGGTCTTTGACTTAATTTGGAGGGCAAAATAAGACTACCATTTAAGGAGAAAGACCAAAGTAAGACTAAAACATTGAAAATATATCAAAATAGGACCTTCATGTTTTTATTTCCGAAATAAGACTTACATTACCAAACATGGTCATGTACATTACCAAAAAAAGTATAGTAATGTGTACATGTACAGTGCCACATTAGCACAGTGCAAAATCTTATTTCGGAAAAAAAAACATGAAAGTCCTATTTTGATATTTTGCTCTATGTTTTAGTCATATTTAAAATTATTTCTATATCATTTACCAGGCCGGACCGATATTAAAGATATTTTTCTCTCGATCTTTTCAGTTTCATCTTAATTTATCTCGGTCAGTTTTTTTCGGACCGATATTTCGTACTTTGGACCTTGTGCACATTTGTATGCACGGATCACGTTCGCCCGTTATAAAGTTTTGGCCAACCCATCACAAATCAGCTGACTTTGAGGACTACGAGGGATGGGAAAAGTCCAAAACACATCGAGTGGGGGGGGGGGGGG